ATCAGTTTAATTAAAATTCAGCAAGATAATGCAGGGTCAAATATAAGGAATATAAGGTTTTCACAATGCCTGTTTCTGATCATTTTGTGTATCTACTTTCTAGCTCACTTCTGTGTGAGCTAGAAAAACAAACCAAGATCAACCTGTATTCAAGTCCCTTTTTATGCTAGGATAGCTCATTTGCTTCTCAACCTTGTTGATACCCTATCTTACTGATGAAAATATTTTTCTGATGCCCTATATTTTCACTTATTTGCCTAACTTAGCTTTTCCTATCTAAAGAAAAATGGACTGATTATATTTAACAGGTTCTATAATCAAAAGTTTCAACATGATTCCATTAGACATTAGTAGCTGATATATAGAGTCTCTTTTGACAATCTGTTTTTCTCACACAATATCAAAGCAAATTTTGAACTTCAGAGTGAAAAACTGAGCTTTCTTTTTTACTAGCAAGAAGCTTACAGAGGAATGCTTTTGACAGTCTGCCTTCATTGTATCCATTTTACAAAAGGAAATCTATCTTTGTGTATGTTTGCAGAACAGCTGGGACAATGAAGACCCAGTCTTGACTGGGGCCTCTGATCCCTACCATGATATAAATATTCATTGAAAGTAATAATGAAACTTACTGTGAAGAAAAGGAGCAATACAGCAGCTCAAGTTTGTACTGTTGAAACTGTCAGTTTCAGAAGATAAAATCAACATAAAGCTTGTACGCTGTCTTACAGTGACATTCCTCTGAAGTGTCTTTGTCCTTTAGGACTTTGGAATTTTTTCCTTGGTAATGTTTTTTTTTTTTACATTGCCTTTTTTAGCCATTATCTAACAGAGCTGGTACTGTTCTCCCTACAGTCTCTATGCACATTTTATTTCTGACTGTTATATTACGTAAGGTTTTTTTAAGTAACAATTTCTTTTGAGATGCAAAGCTTCAGCTACCTATTCCATGTATCACTAACCTGGGAACTTGAAAACCACAGATTTTATAGCCCATGGCCCACCTAATACATGAAAATGCATAGCTTTAATTAAAGGTTCAGTACAATTCTCCCAAGTAAATCATAGCTACAAGTATTTCCTCCTTGCAAAATATTTGCATTAAAAATGTACATATATTGAGTACAGTGAAAAGAATGCAAGAAATGAAACAGTGGTGTGACATGGTTTACTGGCAGACTTGACAGTGAAAGATTAATGGTTGGACTTGACAATCTTAAAGGTCTTTTTGAACTTAAATGATTCTATGTTAGCAGCCAATGCTAGATAACCTCTGATTCCTCTTCTCAAGTAACTTTTCCAAACCTCAAAGTTCTTCTAAAATCTGTGAGAAAAATAGACAAATTTTGAGTGGAAAATTATCAAGAGCTGTTATCTAGATAAAATGTTCTTAGAAAAATGTTTGCAAGGCAATAAAGTGTGTGTGTATATGCACGCATGCACTTTATTTTTGGCATATGTACTTCACAAGGAAAAACACTCCCAGAGTATGAGAAGTAGGAAAGAATTCATGAACTTGGCTTCAGTCACTCTTAATTAACTTTATTAAGCTGAAATTTAAGTGCTAAGCCTGAGACAGGTGGCTAGAGTCCATCTAAAGTTAATTGAGGAAGGTAGGCGCATTATGTCTGTCTGGGAATGAGTTAACTTTCCCCACAGTAGCCCTTCTAGTGCTGTACTTTGCATGTGTAGCTAGAAGGGTGTTGACAACACACTAGTGTTTTGGTGACTGCTAAGCAGAGCTCTCACAGCATCAAGGATGTCTCTCCAACACCCCTACCCACCCTCAGGCTTGTAGACTGGGGGTTGGCAAGAGGCTGGGAGGGTACATAGCTGGGACAACTGACTCAAACTGACCAAAGGGATATTCCGTACCATGTTCCATCATGATCAGCAACACAAAGCAAGAGAAAGGAGATGGGGAGTGGGGTTGGTCTTTGTTATTAAGGCATTTGTTTTCTGAAGAGACAGCTACATGCACTGGGGCCATACTTCCTAGGAAGTGTTTGGATATCTCCTGTTGATGGGAAGTAGAGAAAAAATCTTTTTTTGCTCTGCTTTGCTTCTGCACTCAACCTTTGCCTTTCTTCATTAAACTGCCTTTTTTATGTCAGCTTATGAGTTTCTAATCTTAACTTCTTCTCCTATCCCTCTGAGAAGGCAACTTGGTGGGCTCCTTCAGCCAGCCAAGGTCAGTGCACCACAAAAATATCCAAAAGTATGATTCATACTTGTCTCGAAGGATGATCTTGGAATGTAGCATCTAATTTTAGACAGATAGAATGAATAGAAGGAATCCCTCAACAATTACCCCTCATTTTGGTGGTTACACATCAAATGAATGATTACAGTACGCAACAGGCAACATTCTGGAAAGGACATACTGGCATAGGCACTTCTGAATAATTTCTTAAGATGCACACGTGTGTGCGTAACTCCCATTGAAATCAACAAAAGCAGCACACAGAATGCATCTGACGTCCTAGAACCTTTCAGTCTCCTGGACCTGCTGAAGATCAGGTGGATGCATAACCTTGGAAAGGTTTCATTTCTCAAATGAGTCTATAAATGTGTTAAACAGAATGATTTCTTTTAAACATAGCTGAATTTTAAAATGAGGACAACAACAACAGAAAATGTGATTTTGTTTATTTTCTCAGTGCTTCAGAAGACTAAAAACTTGATTCAGAGCTCTCTAAAACGAAATGCAGGCCTTAAATCAGAGCCTAATGAGTTACTGTACACAGGCTAGATTGAATGAAGGCCTGCTGTTTGGGCCTCTGTGGTATTGCTCATCATTTAAGCTATGCATAATAAAAACTAACTTGCAACCTTGAATAAATATTGGGTTTTACACATAGAGAGATTTGTGTAGTTCACATATTTATGATAACAGGATTGCAGGGAGGAAAGTCATAATCATGAACAAGAAATCAAATGCATTCTGTTTAAAACTTGAATGACATCAATAATATTCAGTGTCTAAGACAATGTGCAAGACTGAAATGCATAGCTATAAAGCCTGCTTGTTTTCTACAGCACTGACCATTCTGAGCTCTCCCTGGTTTAGGGGAATTGTGAATGCTTAGGTTTGTTTTGGGTGGGACATGGTAAGAAGAATGTAAGCAGAAAAGGATTTTGGCTAAGCATCTAGGAAAGAAAAGGCTCACACAGGGAGGTCCATCCATATGCAAAGCAACATTCATTCCAAGTACTATGATGGATGACCTTCTTTTGAATTTTGAGAAGGCTGCCTGAGGAGCTAAGTAATGTGCCATAATCCTGCTCCAGAAAAGAAATTTACAAGGCAAAATGAAAAGACTTTTTGGACTCTGTTGATTCCATACTTCCCTAAAGAAAGCAACCTGTGATTGAACCTGTTGTATTTATTTTCCTTTTTTTTTTTTTTTTTTTTTTTTTGGGTGTAGTATTGATCATCCTGAATTTCCTTTCGGATAGAAAAGAATCACCCTGCCTTGTCTCTGCTCTTCATTCAGACTTGGAAAGGGGCCACCCTATGCTTCATTGTCTTAGGACCTCAGAGAGAGAGGACAGCACAGGAGGGTCCCACCTACCATTCAATGCATTCCTAAGGAATCTGTTGATACAATGAGAAAATCTCTGTGTTGAGGCATATACAAAATAGCCTCACCCATTTCTGGGAAGGAAGCCATTTTTTAGCACTGATAAAGGCTTCATCTTTAAGAGCAAAAGAGCAAAGAAAGACAGAAACTGTAACATATTTGCCAGTGTGAAATAGAGAGAATCAAGTATCCAGTCACTAGAAGCGTGGTGATTTTATCTGGGAAGAAAGCTCTAGCTTATAGGTATGTAAAGAGCTTTGATTCTGCATGGCACAGGGGATCAGGCTAAAGTCAAAGTAATTTCTTTAAGCAAATTTCTTTGAAGCATATTTATTTTCAGTACTTAGATGAGAAAAATTGTTTTCTACACATTGTAAGGTTCTGATCTTAGTGAAAACTTTGAGATTACTTTTATAATATGTATAAAAAAATATTCTTAATTTGTCTTTATCCTTTGACTTCAAGGGTGCTACCCAATTTTGATCCGATGAAAGATCCTGTCCCTCCTGCTGCAGTCTTGGTTCACTCAAAAGAACATATTAACATGAATTATGTACTGCTATGTGTAAAAGTACTAAAATATTATGTGTAATAACAAACCCCAAAATTATTATTTAAATGTTATGTTTTTCACTCAACTTCTATCCCACTCAATCTTGAATTATACAATGCATATATGACCTTCAGGAAAGTGGTGCCCATCCCGACACAGCAGAGTGAGAGTAAAATTAATGCAGCCTTTTAGCAACGTGGAGAAATACAGAAATACAGGGGAGAATGAAGCATGTAAGTCAACATACTCATAGTATAACAGAATTTCAGCAGGATTTTTTCAGTAACCTTTAAGTGTTTTCCTTTTCTTTTTTACTTCATTTTGCCCACTTCTCTAATAGAAATAAAAACCACTAGCATTTATAGCCTTGAATAAATACAAGAAATACTTGCATTGAACATTACTACAAGAAATTACCTACCTATTGCTACAAGAAATAACCCCAGGAAACCGCATTTTACAACCTCATTTAGTGGGGAATCCTGGATGGCCTATCTCAACTGTGTTTGTGTCTGATCCAGACAGACAACTCACAAGCACAATCTCCAAAAGATTTTGTGGCAACACAAAGAAACCTGAGGGAAGCATAGTACATTTCACCAGCTCTTAATGATTACCACCAAAAAAAAACCAAAACCCAAAGAAGAAACAATCAGGAAATCTTTTGGCCACATTTGTAGATTAGGGAAAATCTGAATGAACTATGGTGTCTTATCAGCACAGAAAATTGTTGATCAACCTAAGGCAATAGCAACCACATACGTAGATATGTCTGACAATGTTTTTTGTGGCCAAGAAAAACACATTAGTAACCTTTGCATTTGTGCGTTTTGGAAAGATAGAATAAGTGATATTCTGATTACCTCTAATTGGTCAGACTGCTCATTTTCATCATAGACAAATGCCTGAGGCATCTCTCCAATTGGTATGTCATAGAACTCGGAATCATAAATTATATTATCAGTTACAGGTGCAGCTCCAACAGACTCAAAGATAAAGAATCCCAGAAAAATATTTAGAAAGGTCTGCATTCTGCTTTCTTTTCTGAAAAAGAAGAAAATGGACAAATTGTGGGTAAGCTGGTATTTGCAAAAAATCTATGAAAATTTAATCTCACAAATACATTATTTTTATGTGTCAAACACTATTACTGATATATAACTCATTTATTCATGATGACTCCATGGTTTATTCTGTTCCTGGACCTAATAAATTCTGCAGACTGCTTTGGCCATACTAACAAGAAAGATGTATTGAGTTTTATTGGTATAAACTGGCCTCAATGAGAAAGTATCATCTGAAAAGATGAAAGGATGTTATATACTAATCTTTTCCCCTTTTCATCTACCTTCACTTATTTCTACTACATCATTAAAAAGAGCTTTTGAGAAACTAGCCAAAAGCTAAATTATTATATTATTTGTCTATTACAATAAATAATCTTTTGAAATGTGCAACAATGTAATTTTGCCTTCTGCTCCACCAAAACCCCCCAAAATATTAGAAAACATTAGGACCTCTGTGTTTTTTGATGCCTCTGGATGAGCATAATCAAGATACTTTTCACCTAGTAGGTTTTTTGCCAAAATATAATTTTAATTAGTTGAATGGTGTGGCATATGTGGACCACGGCTTCTGCAAATGTCTATGGAACAAAATAAAAAATAATCTGTGTCCTCCATAGCCCAGTAAGTGGCAGTACTCTGCACTCCTTCATTACTCAATCAGCACCATTTTTAAAGTAGTGAGAATGATAGCATAACAGAGTCACCTGCTCTCCTTTGAGAATAGAATTGTAAAATCGAATTTTCACCCATCTAGATGTTTTGTTTTAGCAAAATAATAGAAAGTCATGCTAAGCTTGAATATAAGTTTTTATATGTTCCCTGTTCTTTGTAAGTGATTCACTATTACCCTACAAGATGCCTGACACAAGGCTTTATTCAGCATTCTTTACTTACACCTTGATTTAGATAAAGCACTCGCTAAATTCACCAATAGCACAGGCAGTAATGAGCAGTGAGTAAGTCCATAAATTGTACTTCTGATGTGATGCCATATTACACATACTGAAATATTTGGTTTTTAAACTGTATTTATTTAAAATAGGTTTAGTATAAGAAAAATATGTGATATTTTTTTAATGTGTATGCTAAGGAACAAGCTGAATTTTAGCTTCATGAAAGGATGTCTTTATGAAGCTGGTTTAGGCATGAGGATATGAAATTCCTCTGGGGATGGTCAGCAACACAAGGCATTCATTTTTCCCTCATTTGCTTTATTCAAAAAAATTTCAGCTGCTGCTGAGAGAAGATAGAGTCACTTGGGCTTGTCTATGAGAAGACTTAGTTGAATTACACCTTTCAGTATTGGTTTCTAATATGACTAAAGATATTCTAGTTTGCTACCAAAAAATGAAATAGAATAAAGTAAAATAAAAATGCAACCAATCTCTGAAAGCAAAAAACAAAAGCAAAACCAAAACCAAAAAACAAGTATACTGGAGTTTGTTTCTTTTTCCCTGCTGTTATATTTTCTACTGCTTATTTTTGACAGGACTGTTTCTGGTCTTGCTTTTCTTTTGCATCTTATTTATCCCAAATGATTCACCTTTAGAGGATGTTATAAATTAACCCAAAATGTAATACTAAGATGTCTGGTGTAATTTTTCCTCTGAATAAACAACTCCTAAATAATAATAAAAAAATACTTATGATTCAAAATTGGTCTTGTTACACATTGTCTAGAAACAAAAGGTTTTTAAAGGTTATAGAGCCTGATAAGTATTTCGTTTTGTATATATAGAGAGAAAACCAGCAAATATAATGGTAATCTTGGTAAAAAAAGAAAAAAAAAAAAGTTACCTATGACTATAGTATCTGCACTAACTTGCAGAGTCTGCATGTCTCTATTTCCCTTATGTGTAATACATTGGAACACACTGCAATGATATTGGCATCTGCACTAGTTGTAAGATCAAATATTTTGATAAAGATTATGTACTCCTCTCACAGGAAGGAACTAAGACATATCCAGGGAAAAATAAACAGTCTCCTCAATCTGCAGCCTGTGAATCAGTATTATGCATGATAAAATAAAACAAATAGTATAAAAATATTTCCAGAGTTAAAAATCAAATTAACTGTTCTAAGAGAAAGTACCAAAACTTACCTTTAGCTTCCAATCTCTCAAATAGGATGGAGTTACTCAGAATGCAGAGCCAGTGGTATTAGACCCTGACCAATGGCAGTGGCATTCTGGGACTGTGGGAGGTGGTACAGCTTCTACCCTCAGTTGGAGACCTCAGCCCAGGGAGTTTCTCGTTCTTGAAACACATTTATATTTGATTTTGCTGAATTGAATTTTAACAAGGTCAAACAAAGGTTGATTGTATGCAAATGGCATTTATTTCATGTCACAGCTTTCTACCTCTTTCCCTAAAATTTCTTACTGCTCTTACAGATGATAGCAATAACATTCTGTAAACAATCTTTTGGGTGTACTGATAATTTAGAAATTCATGTATTCCAGCTCCCAAAATCAAGGCTTAAGGAAATTAGATTTTAAATGAATATTTTTTTCCTGTATGCAGCATTTCTATTTTGGGGCTCATCATATGTGATAATACTTAATGAGTTTCCACCTGCTGTGGGTATCATCTGATATGTACTTTTTTTTCCTTTACTTTTCTACACGTACTAATGAGGCAATACTATAGGATATACTGTTTCCAGTATGTTTTCCTTCTGAAGGGGAAACACCACTTCTTTTATAAATATGAGTTGCGATAATATTCTGCAAATGGTATACATACACTGTAGTATCATGTGCTTTGTTACATCAGAAACAGGTTTTACAATGCCAGCAGAAGTCAAGCTCTTTCCCTTATTGATGGCATTTTCTTTACTATCAGTTCCTACTTAATTCACTGCTTACTTTTATCTTACCAGTGTTTTATACAACATATAACCATTATTCTAAACTTTTTCATCATTCCTCCAACTCTTCAATGAAACATACCTCCTAATACTGTCAATGTCCTATATTAGCTGTTAGGAAAAGGCAGAACCCATTCCTTATCTATGGAGAAATATAAAAGTCATGTAGAAGATTCCAATGTGCCTAGCAAACCTGATTCCCTTTGCTTTATATTATTTCCTCATCAAAATTTTTCCAGTAAGAAGACTATCCTAGAAAGCAAAATTTGTATTAAGTACTGAAAGCATGTTAAGAATTTCAAGCCATCTCTCAATAATTTGAATGTCCAACATCGAACTTCAAGTGCTAGCTTATGGAATCCAAGACATTTGAAAGTGTTTGGCAGAAAGCTAGTTCAAACAGTAGAAGTGCAACATTTCTGTTTGATATTTTGTTTGATATTCAGTCTGATATTCCTGGACATATCAAATGAAACTAGGTGTCATGCTATTTTGGCAATAGAGTCAAACCTACAGTGCCTTACAGTACTGTGACTGTTCCTGGACTACAGACTTCTCTCTAAGGAAGGTTCAGCATGATTTGCTTCTATGAAAGCAGAGGTCTTGCATCATTAAATCAGTTCTTTCTAACTTCCTTATTCACAGCCCCTTCCCATTGTAAAACCAGCTTCTTCTACGAAGAATCAAGGCAAAACGTGCAATGGGAATACCACTGTACTGTGTCCTGTTATTCTTTCACTTCAGGTCAGCAGCTTTGGCATCAGTTTACTCCTGAAGTTAGTGACCTATTTGCTTTCAATGTGCTTCCTGGCAAAGAAAAATAGCTGCATCTTCTGAAGCAAAATGCATCATTCCACCTTATTATTGTTACTGGTAATTTTTATGCTGCTCCACCTGTTGAAATAATTAGCATTATTTAAAATTTCATTATTTTGTTTGCTGCTATGCTTGGTCATTTAAGATTTATTCTACTGAATCCTCAGTGCCAATATGTATATTTACAAGACATATTCTCTCTAGATAGGTCCAGTATTCGTTTATTTCATACGTACAAAAGAACCCAAAATTATATTCTTTATTGAAGGAATTTTTTTTATCTACAACAAATTCTTTGTATCTATACTGATGTTTTTTCTTCACTATTACACAACTAAGTTGATGTAGGCATACTGTGACCTAGGACCTGAAACTATTCTACCTTTCGGTCTGTGGGTTTGCTTTTCTTGTTTTATTAAGATCAGTGAAGTTCAAAGCACTTTGGATCTGGGTCTTAATCTTGATTTTAGTAGCTTACTGTGTTTTTGTCAGATTACAATATGTTTCACTAGTCTTTTTTTCCAGAAACACTAAGCAAGTAAAATTAATTGAGGGCAAATATTAGCTTGCAAACATTAAAATTGTTCTATGTTTTTATTAGAGATGTGGAAACTTATCTGAAAAAAGATATATTTTATACAAAGCATTCTACAAGCTTTGTAGCATGATGTTTCATAAGGCATACAGATTTTGCCAGTAAGGGTTAAACAAAGAAAATGGCTTTGCTTGTCTCAATTTATGCTTTAAAAATCAAAACTTGGAGATTGAGTGGTATATCCGTAGGGGATATGCCTTAGTTGATGCTGAAATTAATGCCTGACATTTTGTTTGAAATTGGATGTTAAAAGTCCTGATGCTAGCAACTAGCATGCTAGCTAGAAATCCAAGAAACTCAACATTTAAGCAGTTTGAGAATATTATGTCATTAAAAAGAAAAGAAAGACTAGTTATAGCCCTGTGGTGTTGCTGAGAAGAAAGACAAGCATTTAAAAAAGCTCACAGAAAATCTGCACTTGAGCTAGGGACTGATTTAGATCACTGCCTTGTGCTTTCTGAATCCTGTTATCACAGAAGATAACGAAATTCCTGAGTCTGATTAAAGGATGCTAGGGAGTGAGGTTTTCATGTCCTCTAATTAGACCCCTCACTGACACTTGGGTTTTCTCCAGATCCTTTGGCCGTGCGGTTACTGCCTTGAAAACTTCCGCAGTTGTCTCTAAATCTTGCTGTCTGACTTACTAAATTTGAGCTTGATTAAAAGCTCACGAAAGTTAATG